GGATACCAATTAGCAAGGGGAATTACCTATACATTTACGGGGAGCGGTGCGTGATCGACATAAAGGTAATCTCTATGCTAAAAGCTCGTCGTTATCTAATCAAGGGTTGCTCAACTTTTCTAGCCTATGTTATGGATGCGGCGAAGGAATTGAAGAATACGGTGAAGGACGTTCCGATTGTTTGTGAATATCCGGATGTATTTCTGGATGATCTATCTGGATTGCCACCCGATCGTCAAGTAGAATTTCGTATAGACTTGATACCGGGTGCAACTACGATAGCGAAGACACCGTATCGTCTCGCACCCGTGGAAATGAAAGAGATGATGAAACAATTGCAGGAATTTTTGGACAAGAGTTTTATCCGACCAAGCACATCTCTTTGGGGTGCTCTAGTCCTGTTCGTTAAGAAGAAAGACGGAACTTTCCGGATGTGTATAGCTTACCGTGAGCTTAACAAGGTAACTATAAAGAATAAGTATCCATTACCGTGAATTGATGATCTTTTCGATCAGTTACGGGGAGCGAGATACTTTTCTAAATTCGACTTGCGGTCTGGCAATCACCAAGCATGTTAAGTGTCAAAGTGGAAAATTTTACTTAGTGCTTGAGTAATGTCCATATAAGAGAACCTATGATTTCGTGGGAGCTTGGGTCTGAAATTTTAGAATTATACTTCTTAGGAGTATATGAGAGGATTTGGGAAAATCTCATGTCAAATGGATATGTAAAACTGATTTTTTTGGGAGATATTTTTGTTGGAGGTTATAGATTATTGCTTTATGAATGTGTAGGCGAAAACCTCATAGAAAACGGAGGTCCGAGCAAAAAGTTATGAATATTTTAAGTGTTGATAGTCAAAATGGGTACCCAACCGGGTCAACCCGACCCAACTCGGGATTTAGTATAGAAAACTCGATTTTTGGCCCAATTTCATGTTATTTTGAGTCCCGAACTCACACACACACACACACTAGAGGTGCAATTTACACACACAGGCTTGATTCAAACTCAAATCAAAGAGGTTACAAGATCTTTGAAAGATTTGATCATCAACTAAAGGTACAATCCATCTTTGCACTTGTTCTTGGTTGACATTCTTGATATATGGATTGCATGTTGAGAAAGAGTTAGGGTTTCATAAGGTTTGATCTTAAGTGTATAAAATGAGTACATTTTAGTATTTATGGCATGAAATGATTATTAGGTTCAAAAGATTATCAAGATTTAAGCAAGTTCATCATATGAACTTTGACTTGGTTAAGTCAAAGATTTGGGAGATGATAGAAATGATGAAATAAAGGTTGGATTTCGGTTGTTTATGTCAAATATGTTATATTAAGATGAAATTCAGAAATTGGAAGAATTTGGAATTGAAATTGAAATTGAAGTGGTATGAAAAATGTATGAAAATGAGAATTTCGACTTAAGAAGGCACTGAAAATGTGCAGACTTTGAAAAACTGTATAAAATCATAGAAAAATCCAAATGCGGGGAGGCCAATTTCTTTGGTTAGATAATTGAGTTTAGTTTATTTCTTATTTTATGATCAAGACATGAATTTGAGTTTAAAATGGACAAAACAGATCTGCAAGTAGCAACTGTACATAGGAATCATGTAAAGTGTTTAAATAGGAAATATGTATAATTTGAGTTTCTTATATTGGTTGCTTATGAGATTTTATACGTTCACTATAGGGGTTAATTAGGACAAATTTTGAGGCTTTGGAAGCATTCTAGGTGTGGTAGCTTGGACTTGCTTTGTGAGCTAATTTCGGAGCTTTTCGGTATTGTACAGTTGCTCGGTGAGTTATATAGTTAATTGTTACATATTATTTTGAATATATATATATATATTCATATAAATGTTTTTGGTCTTGAATTGAGTCACACTATCTTGATTTGTCTTTGATTCCGTCTCTTGAGTCTATTCCGTATATGATCTCGTTACATCGGTTTGCTTTCCGGATCCGGACTCGTTGTTTAGTTCCTTGAATTGTACGCCATAGTATGGGTACTACTTCGTGTGGCACGCCAGAAGTTTATGGCAAAGTCAAGATCCCGGGTTGGACGGGTGAGACTTTCTGTGGTTGTGGATACTCATTGCTCAAAAAGGAGGAAGAGCAATGAGTAGGGAACCTTGGCACACACCCGGTAGAGGAAGGCGGGCAGTGTGAGGTTTTCTGTGATGTACGATTCTGACTCGGACTCTGGAATGAGTCTGGAAGGTGAAGGACGGGGTGATGCACTGTCCTCGTTATGTTTACCGATTCGATCTTTTGGTTCTTGATATTTATTGGTATTCTAACGTTGTTGAATATATTTGATTATTGATCCTGTTTCCTTGTTGTATTGAGAATCAATGGTATGGTATGTTATAGTGGTTTGAATATGGAATTCTATGATCTTAGCATCCGGTACGTATTTGTTCACTCGGTTTCTTGTAAGTCTCGGTTTGCATTCAGTTAATGTCTTAAACTCTTTTATTGATAAGAGTTTATTATGTATGTTTATACACATGTGCGATATTGATATGTAATACTTAACTATCTAACTCACTAAGCTTTTGTTTACCTTTTAAGTGCCAACCCCTCTCAGGAAAGAAGATGGATAAAGGGAAAGAACCCGTTGTTTGAATTCGACGTTTATCGGGGGACTTTGAAGACTATGAACTTACTTTTGGTATATAGTAGTTTATTATCGTATCTTATAGATGTAGTAATCGTAGCTTGTACATAGTTTTATTCCGGTTATAAGTATATCCCATTTATTTTGCTACTTAATTCGGGTTGTAAGTAATCCGTTATGTCCGGTTTGGAATTGTGTTTTGGTTGGTTTTATCACTAAAATTGAACGGACATATCGAAGTTTTTCTAGAAAATTAATATCCCGTATTTTGAGGTTAATCAATTTTTATTTTTATTGGAGATTTTATATAATTGGTAACTTGGGGTTTAATCCATTCCTGTAGACAAGGAGATGTATCAACAACTCGTGGGAAAATTGATCTACCTTCCACACACTATTTTCGGTGGACATTAAGTCAGTACATGAACAATCCGAGTAAGGTTCATCTAGATGCAGTGAAAATAATTCTCAGGTATCACAAAAAGATATTGGCTGATTTTCAAAAATAGAAAACCAAAAGGTTGAGATCTACACTGATGCTAACTGGGCTCATCAGTATCTGGTTATTGCTCACACTTATTGGGTAATCTAGTGACTTGGAGGAGCAAAAAGCAAACAGGTGTGTTGTGTCAAGGAGTGCTGAATTGGAATATCTGGCACTAGCTTTATGAATATGCAAAGGTATGCGGATTCATTGCTTAAAAAATTTATGATGGATGTTTAAGGAACTGTAAAAATATTCAGTAGCAATCAAGCCACCATCAGTATTTCAAAGAATCTGGTCCATCACGTTAGAACAAAGCATATTGAGACTAATCATGTCATTTTGGAAGGGAAAAAAATCAACAATGGAACATTGGAATCGAGTTATGCCCCATGATGCTTTACAGATTGCAGACATCCTTACCAAGGCTCTTCTCAGAATCGACTTTGAATAACTCAACACCGAGCTCACAATTGTAAGACGTACACAACCGAACTTGATGGGGGACTGCAGAATTGTTTCCAATTAAAATAGAATAGATTTTTCTTTGTTTAGAATAAATTTAGGAGATTATAATTGCAATTTATTAGATTGTTTCCTACTTTTGAAGATTATGAGATTCTCAGAATTCCTTCCATAGTTTGGTGATAGTTTCCTGGTTGTGGTCTTATACCAATTGAAAAGAAACAATTGTCCTTGAATATTTACATATAGCAGGTAGCAAAGGACTTATTTAAGTTAGTAACGTTGATATCAGTTCTATGTAGGCATTATGTGATTATCTTGTGTAATAAGCAATCCTGGGCCTTGTGCTCCAATTTGACACTTGAACTTGATGGTCACAGCAAAGAAGTTAGTTTGGATGCATGAGTAAGCAAAAAGGAATAACAATAAAAGGTACGAAGGAAATGCAATAAGTGAGGTTATGGCTCATCAAGAACCAGAATAAGGTACACAACCTTGTCCAGGAAGCCTTGTAAAAGTAGTTCCCCTGTATTTTCCAACAAATGTCTACTCATCTGTTCCCCAAAATAAAACCTTCCCTTTTTGGGGCGATTTAAATCGAATTTACTTAATTGTCATAGATATCATTGGCGAGATTGATTGGGGTCTACAGGTTTTCTCTCTTTTTTTTTCTTTTACTTATTACTGGATATTTTAGATATTTGATTATTAGTCGAAGATTTTTCTTAATCTACGTGTCAATTCAAACGTGGCATTTTTTGGGACGAAGGGAGTAATATTAATCAGTTACTCCAATACTCCATGCTGATGAGGAGTATGAACGAAGAAATACTTGTATAGAATGCCATGCAGGGTTCCAAGGCAGCAAATGGTACGTGAAAAAGAGTTTTCACTAGAAGCACCCACCTGAGGATCATGTAGAAGTTCTAGCACAGATTGATGGTATAGAACTACCCTAGAACACAATCATCAGGATTTGATCACATTTAGCACAGATTGGTTGAATCTGAACCGCTTCCCAGTTTTCCAAAAGTCTATTACCTGATGTTAGTCATTATTCCAACATACATGAGGGTTAAATTGACATCTTCAATGCCAATTGGCTGATTTTAGCATGTTGCACCATCCAAAATCTAAATGATCTCAAGCTATCAGTTTCTTGCCTGTTTATAGAAAACCATGTGGTTTCCTGAGGATTCATGAAATATAGAGTTAAGTCAAACTTCTACGATGAATGATCCCTAACTTTTATCTTAAGTTACAACTTGTTGAAAACCTTGTTGTATTAAATCCTTTGAAGCAACAATAAACTGCATCAACTTTGTGGATAAATCATCATGTAGAACAAGACAAGTTTTCTTGCAACAGATACTTTTCTGGCTGAACTTCTGTTCAAACTTGATGGCCTAATCTAGTTACGCAGGTTTTCATCTTGGGATTTGGAAATATTGGGATCGAATTGGCGAAGCGTCTTCGTCCATTTGGAGTGAGAATTCTTGCTACAAAACGAAATTGGTCCTCATCTGTTCCAGGTGGGTTCAATTCTACAGGTATCACATAGCATATGTATTTAACATATCTGATGTAAACACCTACTTGCTGTTACCTTTGTTCTGTTTTCAGAACCAACATATCAAAACGGTACACATGAGGATTTGGTTGATGAGAAAGGTTCTCATGAAGATATATATGAGTTCGCAAAGATATCGGACATAGTTGTTTGCTGCTTGACGATGAATAATATAACGGTTGGACTCTTTCTTCCCCTTGACTTGTCCAATTACATCTTTTGCTCGATGGGGTTACACTTCTTATGGCTAACAGTTGTGTTATTATTCAGGCTGGTGTTATAAACAAGAATTTTTTATCTTCAATGAGAAAGGTTAGTTTCAGCGAATGATGAACCACTATATTTCTTATTTTCCTGTAAAGACAATCCATTGCTAATTGCTAGTCATCCAGGTTGGATTCACATAAAAATCTCTTCTACATCTCTGCAAGCTCACCATTAACTTTCCTCTTTGCAACAATGTTCCAGACATAATATTTTTTATTATTATATTTACAGATAAAGGAGTTACTGTATTGTAGACTTATTGAACTTATATGTGAAAAAAGGGCCGTATGCGGAGATATAACAAGTTTTGTGGGGTTTTACTTTGGTCTGCCAGAAGTCCAATAATTTGGGCAAACAGAGCCCCTTAGTTCTATTAACCGTAAATGGTGATGACATCAACTTGGTTTTTCAGGGTGGCCTACTAGTTAATATAGCACGAGGGGGTCTCTTGGATTATGAGGCTGTTTATAATAGCCTTAAATCCGGTCATTTAGGAGGCCTAGGAATCGATGTTGCATGGACAGAGCCTTTTGATCCAGATGATCCAATCTTGAAGTTCCCAAATGTCCTTCTCACACCTCATGTTGCGGGCGTTACAGAATGTTCATATAGATTCATGGCCAAGGTATGTTTCTTGTAAAACTTGCTCTATTACTTTTACTGCTTCAGCTTCTCATACTTGTTATTCATCAAATATTATCCTCCGTATTCAAAAAATCAAAAAAAGAGCAGGAGCTTTAGAGGCACTATTTGGTTATAAGGTCAAAAAGACTCATTTTCAACTCAAAAACTTAACTTGAAGTTTTATAGTTATGGTGAAAATGCTGATATCTGAATTACCTTTTACAACAATCTTGATAGTTAAATCCTGGACTTGTCCATGAAAATCGCATCACTTGCCTTTTTGGGTCTCAGACCCAACTACAACATTGTTCCTTTTTTGGAAGTTTTCATGTTCATATTACTTATTTATGCATTATGATCATCACATAGAAACTTATGATATTGATTTGGTTCACTGTTCACACGATTCTACTATTTTACCTTTAAAGTTGAAGGAAAATTGGGTTATCTGAGCATGGGGGATTGACTGTATGACTTGCTTATTTACAGGTATTTTAGATATTGTAAATATAGAAAAACAATTTCTTTTAAATTACATGTCAAGTTGAAGGTTACATTACAATCGGACGATAGGATGAAGGCAATAATAATACATTTCTACATGATTCTCTTGTTTTGAACTTTGTTACTTTTACCTATTCAACAGGTAGTTGGTGATGTTGCTATTCAACTTCAATCAGGAAAACCGTTGACTGGAATAGAGTTGGTCAACTGATGTTACCTGCATTCACCTCATGAACGATTCCGTTGACTACGTGCATTCATTGATGAATGATTAGTTAGTCTCCAAACAAACATTTGGGGTTGACTACCTGCATTCATTGATGAATGATTGGTTAATTAGTTTTTGAACAAACTTTTTCGGAAATGAATTCAACATTACCAATAATATCTTGTTCTTATCATTATGCAGCAGTATTTGGTGTCGATGGTAGTTCATCTAGTTTCCAGATTATCTTTCGAGATCAATAATTGTCTTGGAACATTATGTTATTTTGAATCTGTTAGTTGCGTTTAGTGATTAAACCTATTATTACATAAAAAGTGAGCGATTTGTACTTGGTGCTTTACAAATGATACTCTTAAAATTTTAAAAGTTTTGCTATTAGATAGTATAGACTATAGATAAATTTCACAAGTCAGTGCAAGGTTTTTCATTCGTACCTTGTCGAATTGATGAGAATTGGTTCGTTTTTGGAATCTCTTTTTGGGTGCATTTAGCTTTAGTCCTTGTTATGCTCATTAGGTTTGTCCATCAGCAAGCTACTTGTAAAAGTTCAAGTAAACGCAGCATCAACCAACGGAAAAACGTAGTCATGGACTATCCTATATTAAAAGGAGAGTGAGAGGGGTTCTATCTATATCATGGAAAATGGTCTAAGATGGATGGTAATGATGTTGATAACATCTAACTTGGGTGACCAAAAGAGGGCAGACTTGGACACTGGTTAGACAAGTGGTCAACTTTTGATTAACCTGGATATGCGAGCCGACTAATCCCAAGACGACCACCTGCTTTCCAAGCGTTTGTTGATGAGAATAATGTTAGTTGATTCATGACTTTTCTTGTTATCTTTTGTGATGTAACCTAAATACTTTAAATACTTTGTACTTAAAGTTGACATTTGATGGTTAGGTTAAATCTGTTGGAGATGATTTAATTTTATTTTCACATACATTAGCATCAAAGCATCATTTTTACAATTTTTTTCAATATATGATACGATATGCTTTTAATATAAATATGGGTGCTTAGAACATCTTCAAAAGCTATATTATATTTTCATTTTTTTTCCTAAATTTAAAGATTTCTCTATTACCTCTCTTTTTTCTCTATATTAATTTTTTTTTTAGTATAACTGTTGAAACAAACTTTTTCCAAATCTTCAATTTTTTTAGAACTATTTAGCGGAGAATTTAGCATAAATAGCTATGCTGGAATAGTTATTTTAGATAATCATTTTTTTTTTAAATTCCTCCAAAAAAGTTATGCTAAACATTTGATAAAAATCTTCAAATACGAAGAAATCTTCCAAAACACAAAGACAAGTTATATTTTAATTATTTTTCATCAATGAGATATCTTGAAAATAATTGTTTTTCAAGAGAAATAAAGAAAATTATATTAAATATTTTAATAATATTAGAAGGGTACTCGCGCAATGTAACAAGATGTATCTCAATTTTAATGTTTCGTTTTATTTTTTGTCTTTATCGATGTTATAATACCGTTTTATATGGTTTTAAGAAATCGATAATATTTTTATCTTTGAATAAAAATATAAATTTAAAAATATCATAATCTTTTTTAAAAATATATAAAAGTTCTAGTTTTTTGTGTAATTTCTTTAATTCAATTTTTTTTATAATTTAATTTAGTGTTTAATAATGAAGTAGTTTATTTTTGATCTAATAATATAATTTTTTATAAAGATAATAATTACGTATTCTGTTATAACTCAATAATTATCCTAATTATATTTTAGATTTAAAATGAGAAGATTATCTTGTATTTGATTATGTTTATCTGTAGTTAGTTACATGAATTTAAACATAGAGATTTAATAAGTTGTACTTATGCACATTTTATTTGTAATCTTGAATTTTAAGTAATATACATCAATAAGCAGTACATCATGCGTAAAAATGGTTTTTAATAATTTTTGTCAAATGATTTATAATATAGTATAAATAATTAGTATTAAAATTGTTAATAAAGCAGATATTAGAGTTGTATATAACTAATTTTCTCTTAAAAGTGGAATGTAATGCACTGCATATTAAAACAGAAAAGCCATCGGCATCAGCTTCTTGCTGTGTCCTTTACATGTTAATTAACTCAAATATATTAACATGATCAATCTCATGAATCTTGGTGAGAGATAAGATTTAAAGATACATATTTGAAGGAAAATCCATAAGATGTTGATTTGAAGAAGATGAAGAAGTCATGGTTATCCTTCAATACTCCTCTTAATTGCCCACAATAATGATGGATTAATTGGTCATAAGTGTTCTTGATGATCTCCCATCTACAATCCTTTGACGCTGCGAGAGTTTTTAGAGGGAGAGATTTTTAGAGAATTTAGGGCAACATAACATTAAATGAATTGATAACTACCATATTTATAATTAATACACATGGACCAATATTGACCATCATAATAATTAGAGGACCTGCATATAAATGTGGGAATAATAATAAGAAATTAATCATGGATTAATAAACTTATATATAAAATGATATTAATAGTTTATGCCACATTATAAATAAATCTTACATCCTCCCACTTGGCTATATAACTATTTATATCAAATAAGTTGGCCACTTATTAATCCATTTAGGATATATTTCGTAAAAGCATTAAGACAAAAAAATGCAACCGTACATATCTTAAAAGATATAAGATCCCCATCAATTATACCTCAACATTCCACAAAATATAACTTGTGATTTTATGGTTATCATATCTGCTCCAAGAACAATTAATGTGATCTTTAAATTAGTAGAGCAAAATAAATAACATAATGTGAAAGATAGAGTTGTAAGCGTACCTTTAATAATGCATAGTAGTGCGTGACATTAATCGAGATTTCTTTTTAGGCCCATTCTTGCTACATGCTCAACACAAGTCTTAGGCGGTAATTCTTTGGTAAGTGAATTCGCCAACATGTCATTTGTATTAATGTACTCCACGATTTTGCAGTCTTTTTCCACTCTTTCTCGAACAAATAGATATTTACTGTCGAGATACAATCGAGCACCAGTTGAACTATTGCTGTTAGAGAAACTAACAGCAACATTATTGTCACAGTAAAGCCTTAGTGGTCTTGAAATGGTGTCAACAATTTTGAGCCCACTAATTAAGTTTTGTAATAACATAGCATGGCACGTAGTATGATAACATGCTACATATTCGGCCATCATAGTTGAAGTAGTGGTAAGCTCTTGTTTGCGACTCCTCCAAGATATAGGTCCACCTGAAAGCATGAATATGTACCCTGAAGTTGATTTTTTTGTCATCTGTGCATTTAGCAAAATCAGAATCCGAGTATCCCACGACCTACATAAGATATGACCTTCTATAAGTGAGCATGTACTCCTTAGTTCCTTGTAAGTAACGTAGCACTTTCTTGGCTACTTTCCAATGTCTAGTCCCAGGTTTGATTGATAGCGACCAAGCATACCAGTGACATACACAATATCAGGTCGGGTACAGACTTGGGCATACATTAAGCTCCCAACAACTGAAGCATATGGAATAAGCCTCATTTGTTCACGTTTGGCTTCAGTATTGGGGCATTGATAAGAGCCAAATTTGTCACCTTTTACAACAGGGGCAATGGTAGGAGCACAATTTTGCATGTTGTATTTATTAAGGATCCTATTTATATATGCCTTTTGAGACAATCCTAACGTTCCATTTTCTCTATCTCGATGAATTTCAATGCCAATCACGTAAGAGGCTTCACCGAGATCTTTAATGTCAAAGTTATTTGATAGGATACGTTTAGTCTCAAACAGCATGTCCTTGCTATTGCTAGCAATAAGTATATCATCTACATATAAAACCAATATTGTGAATTTTCTCCCACTATTCTTAAAGTATATACACTGATCTACTGAGTTTTTAGTGAAGTTAAATCGTTTCATAACCTCATCAAATTTTAAGTACCATTGTCGTGAAGCTTGCTTCAACCCATAAATTGACTTTTTTAATTTACATACGAGATGTTCGTTACACTTGTCCTTAAAATCTTCGGGTTGTGCCATGCATACATCTTCATATAGGTCACCATTTAGGAAGACGGTCTTGACATCCATTTGATGTAGTTCTAAGTCAAAGTGAGCTACAAGTGCCAAGACAATTCTTAATGATTCCTTTCTCGATACATGTGAGAAAGTTTCTTTATAGTCAATGCCTTTCTTTTGAGTAAAGCCCTTAGCCACTAGTCGAGTTTTATAACGTTCGACGTTTCCATTTGGGTCTAATTTTGTCTTAAAGACCCACTTGCAACCAACAGCTTTAGCACCCTTAGGTAATTATGCAAGTTCCCAAACGTCGTTTGTATGCATGGAGTTTAACTATTCTTTTATGGCTTCAATCCACTAATGTGAACAATCACTACTTATGGCTTCAATATATGAGGTTGGATCTTCAATTTTGACCTAAATCATAGTCAACCTAATTCAAGTAGGTGATGAAGTCATCATAATTTATGGGTCGTCTTTGTCTTTGTGACTTTCTCAATGGTTGTTGAGCTTCTTCAACAACCTCGTCACTATGTGGAATTTCATGATGCAATGTGTTGGTCCCGTAAGGGTCTACAAGAATAGAAACATTTTGTAGAAGGGGAGGGGATGAATACAAACATAGTATTTTCAAATTTAAAATATATATTGATAGAGAAGATCAATACAGATTTTACAAGACTGTTTGMGGAAAGATAAGGTAAAGAAAACCTATCTAAACAATCTTTGGTTATACACAGATCTTTAGCAATTACAAGAAAAGAGATTGCTAAAAAGAATATATTTTACTTAAGCTAGAAGATGCTTGAAGTAAGAAGAGGATTGCAGAGAGATGCGTGCACTCTACAAAGAGAAGAAACACTTCTATTTATATCCACTGTATTTGTAAGACCCGAATTTTAAAAACACATTCTCGTTAACTTACCCGAATTGTACCGTACTTATATAACGGTCGATAATTGTTAAAGGGTTAAAACCGTCAAATTACTAAACTTATTATAATTATAATATATATATATATATATATATATATATGTAAAGTAAAAAAAAAATAAAAAAAATAAACCATCGTTGCATCT